GGCATAACGTTTTTTGTGGCACGTAAACTTTTGACAGGAGCATCCGTATATATTAGTTTGTAGTACTGTTTTCGTTTCACATTACATCAATGCTCTACGTATTCTCCGTAAGAAAACGTAACCTGATTGCTGATACCCATCAGCGCATGCTTTCCCTTCCCCTGATTGCATTTCGACTAATATTTTCCTTATTCCTTTGTTCACTTCAGGCTACCATGTTGAAGAAAAGTAAGATCAAGCGTCGCAATACCGAACCGTCGATTCTACCTGCTAATGGGGAGGGGGACAAGAGCACGGACGAGTAATCCAACCATACCACAGCTTACAACCGCTCGCTCGATCGTATTTAGTCTCTCTCTCTCGTTGAAGATGCGCGCGCGCACGAGATCTCAGCCTAGGTTCCTCGATGCGCGCTCGAGCGGCGTCACACGCGCGCGTGTGCAAAGCAGGAACCTCGGTGTGATGAACGTGTACCGTATCTGAGCGATACATCCATAAAAAGAGAAAGAAAAAAATAGAAAACGAGATAAAAAGAGAAAAATCCGGTCCCTCCTCGTTGGTGCATGTAAAACCGATCGACTTCCGTAATTATACCTTGTCGATGCCTCGATCCAACGCAGCTAGCTCGAGCTTGTCGTAATGTGTGGATTAGACGCATTCTATTACCGGATAGTAGTGTTTAGCTTTTACGGGAGTAACGTCTTCCTCTTCTCTACTTCTTCTTCTTTCCCTTCTTTTTCTGTGTATAATTCGTTGATCTTGAGTTGATCGTAATTTCTATTTCTATTTTCTACTTTCTATTTTGTCAATGACATTTTTTATCGACTACTCCTTTGTGCGTTCCCTCCCTAGGCTACGATGCTGAAGAAGACTAAGGGTACAATGAAGCGGCATAATATAGAGTCCAGTATGCAGTTGGCGTTACAGGCTGCACCACCGAACGAACCGGTCACGGAAATCTTCTGAGTGAATGAACAAATGTTATGTGAAAGTGGATGAGAATACGTTGCCGTAATCACGAGCACGTAGTCGCAAGACAGAGGACTCGATCGATTTGGCACTGCAGTAATAAAATAAAATCGGCATTGATGAAATCGTCTGACGGCGGTTGCGATACACGAACTTAAACATAAGGCAGGCACATACAACGCAAGGGAAAAATAAAGGGAAGGAACAACCACTCGACGAGAGAAAGCAGGAAGAGTGACAGGTAGATAAGGTTTTCAAATCACACGGGCATACGTAATATACACAGCGTAAAAAAATCCCCGATTGATGATTCTTAATGTTTGTTCTTACATTAATAGAAAGGCAAAATAGATCTCATTTTTAAATGTTAATAATTATATCACTGTACGTAGCTCTCTTATTGATCAATATTTTTTTTTTTAGTAAATTTATAATATATCTTGACATACGATACACACGTGACCATATGCGCACACACGCACATTCGTTTGCACAGCGGTTTGAGTATTTCCTTTTTTTTTTGCGACTGATTTCCGAGATGCATTCAACGAGACGTCCTATCATATGAGAAAAACTCAAACGCAAATTTTCTCATTTGGATGTCAACTATATTTCGAAGTACATCAAAAAGAAAATGTCCGAACTGTTTTACAAACAAGTATACATACATAAACACGCAATACATTAAGCAGTATTGAAGGAAACTACGAACTTAAAGTCTACTCGGACAAACTTGCATAATTGCATATGCACGAGGAAATCAACCAATCATGATTTGTCAAACAGAAAAATGTGTGTTATATTAGATTTAATTAGATTAGTCAGTTTCATTGTATATATGCATTACGCAACTGCGGGTTGTTTCTAAAATCTGTTCGTACTTTCTATATTTTTGAAATGATTAAAAATATAGAGAAACGCAGAAACATTTTTTATTGTGAAGGGTAATCTTTTTACCAAAAAAATTTGTTTTCAGTCTCCCAAGGCAAGCTTAGACGTTGAGGGAATCCAAAAATTTCAAATGGCAAAGAAAACTTAGTCATACCTCATTGAAAAAGTTTTGTTAATAAGAAAATTTTGTTGCAAATTCGAGGTTACTGCATTATTCCTATTCGAATTAAAGAGTCAAATTTAATATGACGCGAACAACACAACCTGATCTGTCACCGCGGCTGCCAGCTGCAAGCGGCACGAATTCAACTGCGACGGAATCGAGACAGTCGAGACGGTCGAGACGGCCAATTAGCGTCGCGGAAAAGAGGCTTCACCCACTTCGATACATTCGAGATTTAGTTAATACACACCCACTCTGATAGTACTAGCACACTGCGCGCGCTACACGCGCGCCTTCAATCTCCTTTCTTAGTACTTTACTGCACTTTAATTATATAGCAAAAAACACAAACCTTACTCACGTACAAACCTATAATCTGTATTGTCTCTCCCAGTCTCTCTCTGTCTCTCCCTGTCTCTCCCTGCCTCACCTATCTCTCCCGATCTCTCCCTGTCTCTCCGTTTCTCCCTGCCTCTCTCTGTCTTTCCCTTTATTTCCCTGCCTTTCCCTGTTTTCCCCTGTCTCTCCCCATCTCTCCCCGTCTCACCTCGTCTATCCCCGTCTCTGCCTGTCTCTCTCTGTCTTTCCCTGTCTCTCCCCGTCTCTTCCTGTTTCTCCCTGTCTCTTTCTGTCTCTCCCTGTCACTTCTTATTTCTCCTTGTCTTTCCCCGTCTTTGCCTGTCTCTCCCTGTTTTTCCCTGTATTTCTCTGCCTCGCTTGTCTCTCCCTGTTTCTCCCTGCCTCTCTCTGTCTCCGCATCTCTCCCCGTCTCAACCCATCTCTTCCTGTCTCTCCCTGCCTCTCACACACAAACCAGTAATCTGCATTCATATTCGAATACAACTATGGACATAGTATACATGGATCCCGCAAACGGCCAGAAAAATGAAGCCAACATGTAGGAAGAGACCATAGACATAATATATATAGTCTTATGTACATAATTATTATTATAGTCTCATATACATAATTATTAAACAAATTTTAATACAGCTAAATGTTTTCATGTTCTTTTATTCCCTTCCATTCTCTCTTATTTTCTCTAATTCTCCTTTACTCTTTCTCATTCTCTACTATTCTCTCTTATTCTCATTCTCCCTCGTTATAACCCCGTTGTCGTAATACGCACGAATTGTCACTCAACTCCGCCACGATGACAGCCTGGCGCGACACGAAGCCGGCCGCAACGCACAGCCAATCGGTATCGCGGTAAAGAGGCAACAATGCCAGCGATAATACCGATAACCAAGCAACTTCGGAACGTGACATCTCCTTTTTACTATTTGGACTACTAACACGCAGCGCGCGCTACGTGCGCGCCTTCCATTTCTTTTCTTACTTTATTGCACTTTAATTACATCGCGAAAAACGCAAACCTATAATCTGCAGTGTCTCCCCGAGTCTCTCTGTCTCTCCCTACCTTTTCCTGCCTCACCTGTCTCTCCCTGTCTCTCCTTATCTCTCCCTATCTCTCCCTGTTTCTCCCTGCCTTTCTCTGTCTCTCCCTGTCTTTCCCTGCCTTTCTCTGCCTCGCTTGTCTCTCCCTGTCTCTCCCGATCTCTTCCTGTCTCTCCCTGTTTCTCCCTGCCTCTCTCTGTCTCTCCCTATCTTTCTCTGCCTTTCCCTGTCTTTCCCTGCCTTTCTCTGCCTCGCTTGTCTCTCCCTGTCTCTCCGGTCTCTCCCTGTCTTTCCCTGCCTTTCTCTGCCTCGCTTGTCTCTCCCTGTCTCTCCGGTCTCTCCCTGTCTTTCCCTGCCTTTCTCTGCCTCGCTTGTCTCTCCCTGTCTCTCCGGTCTCTCCCTGTCTTTCCCTGCCTTTCTCTGCCTCGCTTGTCTCTCCCTGTCTCTCCGGTCTCTCCCTGTCTTTCCCTGCCTTTCTCTGCCTCGCTTGTCTCTCCCTGTCTCTCCGGTCTCTCCCTGTCTTTCCCTGTGTCTCTGCATCTCTCCCCGTATCAACCCGTCTATCCTCGTCTCTCCCTGCCTCCCCCTCTCTCCCTATCTCTCCCTGTCTCTTTCTGTCTCTTCCTGCCTCTCCCTGTCTCTCCCCATCTCTCCCTGTCGCTCCCTATCTATCCCTGTAATCTGCATTGTCTCTCCCTGTCTCTCCTTCTCTCCCTGTCTCTCCCTGTAATCTGTATTATCTCTCCCTGTCTCTCCGGTCTCTCCCTGTCTTTCCCTGTCTTTCCCTGCCTCTTCCCATCTCTCCTCGTCTCTCCCCGTCTCTTCCTGCCTCTCCTATCTTCCCCTGCCTCTTCCCATCTCTCCTCGTTTATCCCCGTCTCTCCCTGCCTCTCCTGTCTTTCCCTGCCTCTTCCCATCTCTCCTCGTCTCTCTCCGTTTCTCCTTGCCTCTCCTGTCTTTCCCTGTCTTTCACACACAGACCTGTAATCTGCATTCACATTCGAGTACAACCAGGGACATAGTATACATGGATCCCGCAAACGGCCAGAAAAGTAAAGCCAACATGTTGGAAGAGATAAAAACATAGATATAATATACATAGTCTCATGTACATAATTATTATTATAGTCTTATATACATAATTATTAAACAAATTTTAATACAGCTAAATGTTTCTCTCCCATTCTCTCTTATTTTCTCTAATTCTCCTTTATTCTCTGTCATTCACTACTATTCTCTCGTATTCTTATTCTCCCTCGTTATAACCCCGTTCTCGTAATACGTACGAACTGTTATTCGACTCCGCCACGATGACAGCCCGGCATGACACGAAGCAGGCCGCAACGCACAGCCAATCGGTATCGCGAAAAAGAGGCAACAATGCCAGCGATAATATCGATAACCAAGCATTCGGAACGTGACATCTCCTTTTTATTATTTGAATATAT